GTGGGGGTGGGGCGGGAGAGGGTGGGGGGAGGGTACAGTGTAAAAGGGTTACTGACTATGTTGTCTTACCCTGGAACAGCTGGACTATGAGAGCTTTCCAGTCCTCCATATCTCACTCTGATCTGATCTGAGATGTTGCCTTCAGCAAACCTCATGGTGTCTGTCTGTATATATGTGCTCGACATGAGAAAAAAAATGGCCTGATATTTGAAACAACACTTTGCTCTTTTGGTTCTGTTTTTCATTTGCAGCCGACTATGTTGTCTTACCCTGGAACAGCTGGACTATGAGAGCTTTCCAGTCCTCCATATCTCACTCTGATCTGATCTGAGATGTTGCCTTCAGCAAACCTCATGGTGTCTGTCTGTATATATGTGCTCGACATGAGAAAAAAAATGGCCTGATATTTGAAACAACACTTTGCTCTTTTGGTTCTGTTTTTCATTTGCAGCCCCGGTTCCCTGCCGCAATGTGGACAGGTGGGTGGGGGTGACTGGCACAGGCTGGGGGTGGAAGTTGGTGTGTGCCCGGGGAGGCGGAAATGCTGTTTTGGTCCTAGCCTGCCTTTGGGAGTTCCTGCTGCAGCCGTCGCTTTGTACCACACAGGGCTGTGTGGGCCTGGAAGATGGGCTGAGTTTCTGGCACGGAAACGGGAGTTTGAGATCGTTCCCCTCATGAGCCAACCTACGACTCCCTGCATTGGCTCTGAGCTTTCAGCTTCGCTCTCCTGCCCCCTCTGGACTGGACTTGTGTCCTGGTGTGTGCTGCTCTAGGAGGAACACTATACGCACCCGCAGCAGCTCAGGCAGGGAGTGACAAGCAATACTGATCCATTAGACCAGCCCGGACCCTGCCCCGGCTGCCGGCTTCAGCGTCCCGGTGCGCCATTCGTCCCTCCGTACCCAATGCTGCCTGCTGCTGCTGTGCCATGCAAGAGTCCGAATCCCGCACCTGCCTTCCAGGTGCGCTGCTGAGCTTTGACGGCTGCTCGTTCCCTGCTGCTTGGGCTATCTATGAATGCACCATGGTGACCCCATGGTCATGACCACAGAGTGACCAAGGTGCTTGGCTGGTGGCTGGGTTCTAAGGAGCAGCCATTGATTTGGGTGCCAGCCCTAGTCACCCCAGGGAGCCAACCGAACTCTCCCTCTCCACAGGGGCCTCCTACGCCCACCCAGCCCCCTGGGTCACGGTCCCATCTCCGGTGTGCTGTAAACCGGACTTCCAAGCCCCAGCGTTTTTCACACCAGCGAGGGCAGTGGCTCCCGTCCAGCTACCAGCCTTCTGCACCTCCTCTGTGTGGCTCCTCAGAGGCCCCTTGTGCTCCATGCTGGCAGGAGGCCAGGTAGGAGAAGGGGGCTGCCCCCTCGCACGCTGTGGTGAGCTGGCAGCCACCACAGGGAGCAGAAAGCTCAGCGAGCAGCTGTCACCTGAGCCGGCCCAAACAATTGGAGGGCAGTGGCTCCCGTCCAGCTACCAGCCTTCTGCACCTCCTCTGTGTGGCTCCTCAGAGGCCCCTTGTGCTCCATGCTGGCAGGAGGCCAGGTAGGAGAAGGGGGCTGCCCCCTCGCACGCTGTGGTGAGCTGGCAGCCACCACAGGGAGCAGAAAGCTCAGCGAGCAGCTGTCACCTGAGCCGGCCCAAACAATTGCTCGCTTCTGCAGCACCCTCTCTCCTTGCTGGAGCTGGAAGCAGTTCTAGCTTTGCTCCCGTCCTTTTGCATAACTGGTGAGTCTTGAACTCACATGAGCCCCACCAGGCGACCTTCCCGCAGGGAGCAGCCAGCACACGCCAGCAACCATCTAGAGCTGGAAGAATTTACCAGCCCCTTGCCCTATGCCACTGGCATGCAGGCGCCCCGTGTCTTTGGGGCCCCAGCATTGCTGGTTGCAGAGACATTTGGGTAACCGCGACCTGGTCCCTCTCCCACTTAGCTGAGTTGCTTCGTGACGTCGCAGCCCTTTCTTTGTGCTGTCCGATGCCCTTGTGGGAATGCTGCCTCCATCCCGGAGACTGGAGGGATTGTGAATGGACCAGGCTGAACACGATGGAAACAGCCCACTAGTGCAGGCTTAGACCTGCCCTGCTGCTGGGCATGCTGGCCCAGTGACACCAGTTAGATGACCGACGGACAGTTTCTAAACTCAGATCCATGATGAACAGCAATACAGAGTGACAAACCAGAGCCGCACACACACACACACACAGTTTAAAGGGCGAATTAGCGGAGGCAATTTTGGTTGGCATTTGGCCGGATCTGTCCTGCACACAGTTTAAAGGGGCTGAGGCGAATTAGCAGAGGCAATTTTGGTTGGCATTTGGCCGGATCTGTCCTTAATGAAGATTTGCCATGATAACATACACCAGAAAGAACGAGCCCATCTGAAAATGAATTACAGTAGAACCTCAGCGTAAGGAACACCAGCGTTACGGACTGAGCAACCAACCACGCATCCCATTTAGAACCGGATCTATGCAATCAGGCAGCGGCAGAGACAAAATCCAAGCAAGGCAACTCCAGTACAGTGCTCTGTAAACTACTTTAAAAAGGGTGAGGGGAGCAGCATTTTTCTTCTGCATAGTGGTTTCAAGGCTGTAGGAAGTCAGTGTTCAGTTGTAAACTTTTGCTAGAACAACCATAATGTTTTGTTTAGCGGTGCACACATGTCAGCGTTACGAACAGCCTCCAATCCCGAGTTGTCTGTAACACTGAGGTTCTACTGTACATTTGTGTGACTTGTAGAGGCTTAAAATTCTCACATGGGTTGGATGTGAGCAGTGATTCCCGTCCTCTCCTGCCCAGCTGACCCGCGACAGCCTAATCTGTTGTTGCATTGCAGCCAGTCAAAGAACCTGGACCTCCCCCCCGCCAGGGCTGTGCCCAAGCAAAACCAGTTTCCCATTGTAACCTGTCTGTTGGTAGTACTGTGCGCTCGTCACCACCGCCTCGCTTTGCTAGTCATCTCACCACCTCGCCCTCAATGTTTGCTGGCCAAGAAATGTCTGTTGTTTCAGAAGCTTGCCTCGGACCATGAGAAAAAAAACTATCTGCGTCCTTGGCACCATTGCCTGAAATCCTGGCTGTTTTTAGTGGCATCTTGTACATATGACTGTAAAATGGTAAATCGTGTGTATTATATATTGCCTCATTATATAGTGTATATATATGTATACATATACATATATATAATATATATGACGACTGTAAATGTTAAGACTAGTGTACTTAGTATATTGCTTCACACTGAAGATTGTGTGTAACAAGCTGTTTCTAAAAGATGTTTATTTTCCTTAAGAGTTAAAAAAAAAAAAAACCAGGTCATTGCATTCAGAACGTCAATAAAGATACAACAATTGTTTTGGAAGTATGTGGCCGTCTCGTCGTAGCCTGTGTTTCTCCTGCTGACCCCTTCCCCTCCCCCAGCAAGCAGCTGAGGAATAGAACAAAGGTTGCAACAATGACATTAGTTCTAAGAGTGCATCCTCTGCGTGTGCGCGCGTGCGTGCACACACACACACAGGTAACGAAAGCAAATACCTCTCCTCTCCTTTGGCCCCCACCTCAGGGGCATTGCCATAACAGTGCAGCCCCTGTTGTCAGGGAGGCAGGGAGCCTGGCCAGCCAGAGGGGCACGGATCTTGCTCCCCCAGCAATCTCATAGACTCATAGACTTTAAGGTCAGAAGGGACCATTATGATCATCTAGTCTGACCCCCTGCACAGTGCAGGCCACAGAATCTCACCCACCCCTCTTAGAATAATCCTCTCACCTATGTCTCAGATATTGAAGCCTTCCAATACTTTGAAGGCCCCAACATGCAGAGAGTCCTTCAGCTGTGATCTGTGCCCAATGCTACAGAGGAAGGCGAAAAACCTCCAGGGCCTCTGCCAATCTACCCTGGAGGAAAATTCCTTCCTGACCCCAAATATGGCGATCAGCTAAACCCTGAGCATGTGGGCAAGACTCACCAGCCAGACACCCAGAAAGTTCCCTATAATGAATGGTCAATTAGTTACCAAGATCATGTTATTTCATCCAACCATCCCCTTATCATAGAATCATAGAACTGGAAGAGACCTCAGAAGGTCGTCAAGTCCAGCCCTCCGCTCTAGGCAGGACCAATCCCATCTAGGGCTCTGATTACTGGTCTGCTTCCTTCAAGGTATCTCATCTCTTTCTGCCCCTCAAGCCAAAGCTCCCTGCCGGCCTCCCATACGCGATTGCTGACGCCTCCTGGGACCTTGTCAACATCCCCAAAACCCATCCTGGCACCTGGCCTGCCCACATCATCTCCCCAGCGCCGCTGGGGCCCCTTGTTTTAGCTCCCTTAGCGTCTGGGCGCAAGTCTGCCCAGGCGCAGGGTCCCTGCAGGTCTCCTCTTGCCAACACTGCCAGCCCTCTGCCCCTGGGCCACCAGCGCATGTAGATACTGCCCCGCCCTAGCACCCCCATCCTTGCCTAGGGGAGCCCACCTGGCCTGCCCACATCATCTCCCCAGCGCCGCTGGGGCCCCTTGTTTTAGCTCCCTTAGCGTCTGGGCGCAAGTCTGCCCAGGCGCAGGGTCCCTGCAGGTCTCCTCTTGCCAACACTGCCAGCCCTCTGCCCCTGGGCCACCAGCGCATGTAGATACTGCCCCGCCCTAGCACCCCCATCCTTGCCTAGGGGAGCCCTAAGATGCCCCATGTGCTTCCTTCAGGCCCCCCCCCCAC